TATGAGTTGTATGGTTTATCATCAGATTTTGGTATTTTATGATTTAGATCACACTACAGGGAAGTACTAAACAACTTGACTTCTAATGAATCCCTATATATTAAGGTTAGTGATTGTTATTACTTGGGGGTTTGTAAGTGCAAATAATAGAACATCATGTTGAACCTTAAACCAAAAATACCCCCTGAAGTCTCTTAAAACCACACAATAGTATAGCATAACTAGGAAGGAATGTCTGCCCTGAGCATTGGGCTCTTTCAAGAACTACTGCTATCAAGTTGACAATAATTATAATTCAAAAGATTAGGAAATTAGGGGCACTGAGTTTGTTAACTAGGGAAACACAACTCAGAAAAGGAGAGTGAAAATGATTATACAACTTGAAGAATGTAAACAAGGTAATTGAGTTTGACACATTGGGATTGTTGCCTTGATGTATGCTCTGCTGTGTATTTTCTCAATAGTAATAAATAAGGTAATAAAACAAGGGAAAGAAACTCAAGCTGAAAGTGGCCTAACCAGTGAGGAAATTACTTATCTCACAAAATTAGTTAAGAAATTCCACAGCTGGTTAATTTAATTAAACAGCTGTGGATCTGCTAAACTTATTTTGTGAGCTCACGGACTCAGCTATTTTCCATCTCTACCACATCCAGTAGTCAGCCTGGTTTTCCCTCATGGTCTAAGCAACTCCAGACATGTAATGTAAAACAACAATCCCTAAACGTGAGAGAGGTCTACCCTCCCAGCAGCTCGTTTTGTAATCGAGGCAGATGTTTTTAGCCCCTCGACCTATATGCTTCCCCTTCAAATCCCACTGACCGGGAGTACTGGGTCAAGGGCTCCACCTCAGTAAGAATTAACAGGGGAATGAGCCAATCGTTGTTGGCTTAAACAGATCATTCATCATCCACTGGGGTGGAAGGATCTCTGCCTCCCCTGTATGCACAGGGAGAAGCCAAATCAAAGCAAGCCCTACCAGGAAATCAGGGAAGATAGGCTAGGCAATGGATAGCACAGCCAGGGTGAATTTTTCCCATTGACACTGCTGTTTCAGTTCCTGAGTACTGCAAAGGGTTCACAATGCTTGGCTGCTAACTAAAAGGCTGGAAGTTTGAGTCCACCAAAAGCAGCTTGGAAGAAAGGCCTTATGCTCTCCTTACAAAAGATTAGTCATGTAAAGCCCTATGGAGCACAGCTCTACTCTGACACACTCAGGGTCACCCTTGAGTTGCAGTACACTTAACAGCAATTGGTTACTGGTTATCAACAAGACTTCAAAGAAGACAAATGGGTGCATAAGCAAATGTGGTGAAGAAAGCTGATGGTGCCCAGTTATCAAAAAGTATAGCGTCTGGGGTCTTAAAGGCTTGAAGGTAA